GAGAGAGAGAGAGAGAGAGAGAGAGAGAGAGAGAGAGAGAGAGAGAGAGATATCAGCCTCACAGCTCCAAAATCCCCCAAAGGACCACACTAATTTCCTCCAGGGAGGGATTTTTCTGACCTTCGCCTTTAAAGATGTAGCTGCGCCGGCCCCGCTGCCAAGTCATGTGCTCAAAACCCAGCAAGGTTGTGTCAACCCGTAGGTTTTCGCCACGCTTCCACACTCGGTATACATCACTTGGGCACATCTTAGAGACCAGGGGCACTGGGGATGGGCAGGGAGAAAGACAGTGAGTAGACAGACAGAAGTTGCCCCTGAACCCTTACTGAGTTAACCACATTTGCACTACCCTCCCCCATTGTCCAAGGAGGCATTCTAGCTTCACAACAACTGTGTGTGGTAAGTCAAGCAAGAGGCAGTGATGTGCACAAAGTTTTATGGCTGAAGGGTACTCCTTCCCCATGTGGCTAGGACTCTGTCCAGCTATCAACTTTAATCCCTGGAACACTGCAATGATGAAATGTTTCTCACACAACTGGACAGACCAGAGGTAGGCAACCTTCAGTACATGTGTTGAAATGCAGCACCCCAAACCAATTTGCTCAACAACAGTCAGCCAGTTTTCTGCCAGAGCAACTCAGGCAAGTTCCTAAGGCACTGGAAATACTAGGCCTTGGCTTACTCCCAGTGTCTCTGGACAAGTACAACCGACCTCTGCCCCCAGCACACACAACACAGATTTTGTTCCAATGCCTAGGGCAAAAATATAGCCTGTCCCTGGGCAGAGTCTGTTCCATGTTAAAAGGAACTAACAACAATACAATTGTTAGTTTAGTCTCATACTAGTGTACATTTAATACAAAACATATCACAATGAAAAACAATTACAAACTGTTAGAAACAAGAGAGACAAAAATGTCCTGTATAACTTTCCAGATCTATGTGTATAGATCACAAGGTCCCAGATGTATTACGTCCCTCGTTGTGTGAAGGAAGCCACTTTAAGAAACACGTGGAATGTACTGATGTGGTAGTTTAAATTGGGCTCTTGCCAAATCCCAGCGGAGGCATTTGTTAGCAGCTTTCACTTTGAAGGGCAGGTTTACCTCCTATTAAATAGATGCCAGCTTTGTAAAAATTTCCGGGTAAATGTAAATGTTTGATATAATACAATTACAAACTAAAAATGGAAACTTTTAGAAATTATGAAAGGATTACCTTGCTTCTTACAGTGGCTTCCCTTTAGAATCAACAGATCTGGAGAAACTTAACAGTTCTTCACTTGAGGAGGAGAAGTGGTAGGATGATCTATGTGCCATGTGATATATTTGTCAGTAAGATATACATTTATCGATATGGTTCTACATATTTACTGTATCTTATTGATCTGATGAAGTCTTCTAGGACGCAACAAGGGATGTAATACATCTGGGACCTTGTAATCTATACACACAAATCTGGAAAGTTATACTGGACATTTTTGACTCTCTCTTGTTTCTGACAGAGTTTGTAACTCGTTTTCATTGTAATTTGTATTAAATGTACACTAGTATGAGTCGAACTTAACAACTGTATTTGTATGTGTATGTATATCTACTGTTCCACATTAAAGCCATTCCATTCACTGAGGGAACGGAGGAGGCATCCCGCATCCTCCAAATATAGGCAAAGATCCCGGGCTACGCCAGTGGTGTGCAGCTGGCAGTAGGCCAAAGCTGGTCTATTGGTGAGTGCTACTTGGCCTGATGGTTAACCATCTCTCCTGAAACCTGCTATCTTTGGCCAGGATTAAGCTTCCTCTTGGCTACTGCTCTTGCCATTGGAAGGAAAGGTAAATAATCTGAAGCCCTTAGGCAATAGTGCCCACATGTTTTCTGAAACTGCTCTGGAGGAAAGGCAGTCCCCTGGTATAGGACTCCACCAGTTGTGAATCCATGAAGGATGGGAACGACCATTGGACACTTACCGTGAGTGGTCCTTCTCCTCTGAGGACAGGAAGACATCTGCATGGGTTATTCCCACCGTGCCAATAGGGAGGCAGGAAGTAGATTTCCCCCCCCCCCCTGTTGGTGCCTTTGGAATATCCCATCTCCAGTTCTGGGACTCCGAAAGCAGTCTTGCAGCCTGAAAAACTAACCTTGCCCTATAAAAAACATAACTCTGAACAATTATATCAATTGAATAATCACTCTATCCTGTATCTAAGATAGAGAGGAAAGAATCGTCCCATAATGGGAGAGTGCAGAACAGGAAGAAATTCTCAGCACGGAATATGAAAAAAAAGTGAACAAGAATAGTAAAAACAGGAAGAAAGATGACAGTGGGAGGGCCCAGATGTCCTCCTGTCCTCAGAGGAGAAGGACCACTCACGGTAAGTGTCCAATGGTCGTTCTCATCAGCGCTGCGTTAGTTGCTGCACTCCTCAGAGAATGTGCCGTTATGCCAGCTGGTGGATTCAGACCAACTGCCCTATATGCTTCCACGATGCAAGATTTCAGTATCACACTGAGGGATGATTTAGACAACTTTTCACCCTTGTTTGGTGGAGAGATGCCGACGAACAAGGAATCTGACTTCCTCCAAGGTTCCGTCCTTGCGATGTAAATCTTCAAAGCCCTTTTGACGTCTAGTGTGTGCCAAAGACGTTCCTTGGGGTGTATATGGTGCGGACAGAAGGTCGGCAGACATATCTCCTGGGAGCGATGAAATCTGGAATCCACTTTGGGCCGGAACGTAGGATCCGTCAAAAGCACCACCTTGTCTTTGTGGAACGTACAGTAAGAAGATTTTACAGATAAAGCGTTCAACTCTGAAACTCTTCTCGCCGAGGTAATTGCGACGAGGAATTGCGACGAGGAATAGTGTTTTCATTCGTAGCCATTTCAGACCGACTTCTCTGAGAGGCTCAAACGGCGGCTTCATCAAAGCGTCCAGGACAACGTTTAGCTTCCATGTAGGGAAGCGATGCGTTTGAGGAGGGGACTTGGCTGTTGCCCCTTGAAGAAATAGTTGAATGTGAGGATGTTTGGATAATCTCACGCCTTCCAGTGTAGGGATTACAGTAGTGATCGCCGCTAATTGTCTACGTAATGTGGAGGCTCGCAGACCCGTGTCTAGCCCCTCCTGTAGAAAGGCTAGTAGAGATGGTACCGAAGGTGAAAGTGGGTCGACTCTCTTGCGCCTACACCAATGAACAAACGCCTTCAAGTGGTATTGTAAATACGCGTTGTGGATGAACGTCTGGATGCCATGATAGTATCCATGACTTCCTTGGAGAAGCCTAGGTCTAACAATCTTTGCCGCTCAATCTCCATGCGGTCAAGGAGAGCCATGCCGGATCCGGATGCCAAACTGGACCCTGGAATATCATGTCTGGAGACACTGGTAGGATCAGAGGAGGTAGAATGGACATCTTCTGTATCATAGAAAACCACGGACGTCTCGCCCACCGTGGGGCCACCAGAATGACCTCCGCCCTCAGTTCTTTGATTCTGCGCAGAGTCCTGGAGATCAGGATGAACGGCGGAAACGCGTATAATAGACCTGCGGGCCACTGTGTTGTGAGTGCGTCCGTCGCTTCTGCATTCTGATGAAAGTACCTGGTGTAATACCTCGGCAGTTTGTGATTGGTTGGGGCTGCAAATAGGTCCAATATCGGGTGACCAAATTGTTCCACTATTGTGGAGAAGAGGTCCGGGTGGAGAGCCCATTCTCCCTCCTGCAATGCCTGTCTGCTGAGCCAGTCCGCCTGTACATTTTCTATTCCCCTGATGTGCTCCGCTCTCAGAGACGCAATGTTCTTCTCTGCCCAGAGTAGGATCTTCATGGCCTCCTTGTGCAACCGGCAAGATCGAGACCCTCCCTGTTTGTTGAGGTGAGCCTTCGCCGCAATATTGTCACAGTTCGCCTGTACATTTTCTATTCCCCTGATGTGCTCCGCTCTCAGAGACGCAATGTTCTTCTCTGCCCAGAGTAGGATCTTCATGGCCTCCTTGTGCAACCGGCAAGATCGAGACCCTCCCTGTTTGTTGAGATGAGCCTTCGCCGCAATATTGTCCGTCCTCACCAGCACATGTTGTCCCTGTAGTCGCGAAGGGAAATGAAGTAGAGCTAGATGAACTGCTCGTATCTCCAGCAGGTTGATCGGAAGCAAGGCTTCGTCCGACGACCACACGCCTTGGACTAGAACACCCTGTAGCGTTGCTCCCCATCCTGTAAAGCTGGCACCGGAGAAAAGTTCCAAGAATTGGGGTATGTAATACATCTTCCCGGCCGTCAGGTTGTTGCAGTCTGTCCACCAACGCAGGCTTTGCTTGACCTTGAAGGGTACCTGAAGATTGAGCACCTTCTTTTGCATAATGCTCAGTTGATGTGGTCATAAGAACATCTGTAACGCTCTCGCATGCATTCGACCCCATTGTATCATGTCTATACTGGCAATCATGAGTCCCAAAAGGCTGGCCAGCTCCATCAGGGTCGATGATCTGCTGTTGAACACACGCGTCGCGATGGATTTGATCT